AGATAGATAGATAGATAGATAGATAGATAGATAGATAGATAGATAGAAAGGTGTTTAAAACCCTTCCCACACTCTTGCAATATTCCATTCTAAACACTAAACAACCTCTAAAAGAGCACAGAATGTCATGATTTCAGCTCCCCTGCCTCCTCTGCTCTTTGACATTTACAAGTGCTCTTGGCCACACTCACATCTCTACTGCACATTGAATAGCTGATCAGCTGCAGCAAGAAGTTTATCCTGCCATGTGGGCTGCACAATGGTGCAGAAGGAAGCTTTTCTTCAGCTCTGGGCTGCACAAATATGCAGCAGGTGCTAAATAATTGAAAATAATGTATTTTAAATAAAAATTATATGCCGATCGTTCAGCTCATCCATCAATCAGCCAATTGTGTGTCATGTCCAATCTTATTTTGAAAAACCACAATAGAGCGAGTCCATGAAAAACGAACTGTGAAGTAGCAAGGGATTACTGTACTAAATATTTGGTATACTGGGTTACTATACTATTGCATGATCCTAGGAGCTATGCTATCTGGGGCAATTGTAATTGCCCCTGGTAGAGTCTCCCAATGCAGATTGGTCCTAGGTGACAGGCCAGACAAAGTGATTCAGAAGACTCGTATGGACAGTAATCAACAAGGAGCTCAGTGTCCCTTGCCTGGCCGTGGGTTACCAGGGCCCCACCCTGGAGTCAGGCCTGGGAGATGGACTAGTTGGCGAGCGCCTGGTGACCGGGTCTCTACTCATGGGGCCCTGTTTGGCTCAGCCCAAATTAATAACATGGGTTTGCCTTTCTGTGGGCCCACCACCTGCAGGAGGGGCTGTATGAGTCAGGTGCATGATGCCATGGGCAGTGGCCAAAGGCAGGGGCCTTGAGGCTCTGACCCTGGCTTACCAAAGCTGGCTCTTGGAACATGAAATGTAACCTCTCTGGTGGGAAAGGAGCCTGAGCTTGTGCGTGAGGTTGAGAGGTACAGACTAGATATAGTTGAACTCATCTTGACTCACAGCATGGGCTCTGGAACCAATTGAGATGGGCTGGACCTTACGTCACTCTGGAGTTGCCCATGGTGACAGGTGCAGAGCTGGTCTGGGTCTACTCTTAAAAGGTTGGATCCTCTGAACTGTCATTCAGTGCGTAGGCACAAACAACTGTCAGAGCCCATCCCCCACCCAAAAACGTAGGGAAGCTACCCTTGCATCTACCAGGAAAAACTCCAACACACAGGCACAAAGTCAGGGTACTAAAGTCCTTGCTGGAAATTGTGTCAACTCCTTTATTCTGCTGGGGGACTTCAATGCCCACATGGTTAATGACAGTGTGATCTAAAGGGGCATTATTGGGAGGAATGGCCTCTCTGATCTGAAATTGAACAATGTTCTGTTGTTGGACGTCTGTGCTCATCATAGTTTGTCCATCACAAACATCATGTTCAAACATAAGGGTGTTCATAAGTGCACTTGGCATTAGGATGCCCTAGGTCATAGATTGATTATTGATTTTGTAGTCATGTCATCTGGTTTGCAGCCATTTGTTTTGGACACTCAGGTGAAGAGAGGAGCTGAGTGGTCAACTGATCACCACCTGGTAGTAAGTTAGAATAGATGGTGGGGGAAGATGCTGGACAGACCTGGTAGACACAAATATGTAGTGAGGGTTTGCTGGAAACGCTTGACAGAAAAATATTTTAGAAAGATCTTCAACTTGCACCTCAGGGAGAGCTTTAACCGCATCCCAGCTGAGGCAGGGGACATTGAGTCCAAGTGGACCATGTTCTGCGACTCAATTGTTGAAGTGGCTGCCTTGAGCTGTGGCCGCAAGGTTGTCGGTGGTTCTCACAGCGGCCATCCTCGAACTCGGTGGTGGATACCCCGAGTTAGGGAGGCTGTCAAGCTGAAGAAGGAGCCCTATCAGTCGTTGTTGGCTGGTGGGACTCTGGCGGCAGCTGAGGAGTGCCAGAGGGCCAAGGATCTTCAGCCTTGGTTGTTGTTGAGCCAAAAGCTCAGATATGGACCTTGGATAGAGACTTTCGCTCAGCTCTGAGGAGATTCTGGCAAACCATCAGGCAGCTGAGGAGGGGAAAGCAGCTCTTTATTAACAGTGTTCAGTGAAGGTGGGGTGCTGTTGACCTCAAACTGTGATGTCGGGAGGTGGAAGGAATACTTTTTGGACCTTCTCAATCCCACTGGCACGTCTTCCATGGAGGAAGCTGAGTCAGGGGACTTTGGGGTTGGTCTGTCCATAACTGTGGCTGAGTTCGCCACGGTAGTTAAAAAGCTCCGTGGTGGCAGGGTTCCAAGAGTGGATAAGATTCACCTTGATTTCCTTAAAGCTCTGGATGTTGTGAAGCTGTCTTGGTTGATATGCCTTTGCAACATCGCGTTTACATCAGGAGCAGTGCCATTGGATTGGCAGACTGGGTTGGTGGTCCCCCTCTTCAAAAAGGGGGACTGGAGAGTGTGTTCCATATAAAAGGGCATCTCTCTCCTTAGCCTCCCTTGAAAGGTCTATTCAGGGGTACTGGAGAAGTGAATGTGATCATTGGTCTAGCCTCAGATCCAGAAGCAAACAATGAGAGTTCCATCCTGGCTGTGGAACACTGTACAGGCTCTTTATCCTCACTAGGGTCCTCAAGGGGTCATGGGAGTTTGCCCATACAGTCTACATGTGTTTTGTGGACTTGGAGAAGGTGGTTGACCGTGTTCCTCAAGGTACGGTTGCTTCAGGATTCCATCTCTGCTCTTTGCAGATGATGTGGTCCTGTTGGCATCATTGTGCCATGATCTTCAGCTCTCAATGGAGCATTTTGCAGCTGAGTGTGAAGCGGCTGGGATGAGAATCCGCACCTCCAAATCTGAGGCCATAGTCCATAGGAAAAGGGTGGATTGCTCTCTTCGAGTCGAGGGTGAAGTTCTGCCTCAAGTGGAGGAGTTCAAGTATCTTGAGGTTTTGTTCACTAGTTATGGAAGAATGGAGCGAGATTGACAGATGTATTGGCAGTATTGCGGACTTTGTATTGGTCTATTGTAGTGAAGAGGGAGCTGAGCTGTAAACGAAAGCTCTCTGTTTACTGGTCAGTCCCTATTCCTACCCTCACCTATGGTCATGAACTCTGGGTAGTGACCGAAAGAATGAGATCGCTCAACTGGCAGTTGAAATGACTTTCCTTCGCAGGGT